TGCCCTGCCCTGCCCTGCCCTGCAGGGCTCCCCTGCCCTGCCCTGCCCTGCCCCTGCCCTGCCCTGCAGGGCGGCCCTGCCCTGCCCTGCCCTTCAGGGCGGCCCTGCCCTGCCCTGCCCTGCCCTGCAGGGCGGCCCTGCCCTGCCCTGCCCTGCCCTGCCCTGCCCTGCAGGGCGGCCCTGCCCTGCCCTGCCCTGCCCTGCCCTGCAGGGCGGCCCTGCCCTGCCCTGCCCTGCCCTGCAGGGCTCCCCTGCCCTGCCCTGCCCTGCCCTGCAGGGCTCCCCTGCCCTGCCCTGCCCTGCCCTGCAGGGCTCCCCTGCCCTGCCCTGCCCTGCCCTGCCCTGCAGGGCTCCCCTGCCCTGCCCTGCCCTGCCCTGCCCTGCCCTGCAGGGCTCCCCTGCCCCTGCCCTGCCCTGCCCTGCCCTGCAGGGCTCCCCTGCCTTGCCCTGCCCTGCCCTGCCCTGCAAGGCTCCCCTGCCCTGCCCTGCCCTGCCCTGCCCTGCAGGGCTCCCCTGCCCTGCCCTGCACTGCCCTGCCCTGCCCTGCCCTGCCCTGCCCTGCAGGGCTCCCCTACCCTGCCCTGCCCTGCAGGCCTCCCCTGCCCTGCCCTGCCCTGCCCTGCAGGGCTCCCCCTGCCCTGCCCTGCCCTGCCCTGCCCTGCAGGGCTCCCCTGCCCTGCCCTGCCCTGCCCTGCAGGGCTCCCCTGCCCTGCCCTGCCCTGCCCTGCCCTGCAAGGCTCCCCTGCCCTGCCCTGCCCTGCCCTGCCCTGCAGGGCTCCCCTGCCCTGCCCTGCCCTGCCCTGCAGGGCTCCCCTGCCCTGCCCTGCCCTGCCCTGCAGGGCTCCCCTGCCCTGCCCTGCCCTGCCCTGCAGGGCTGCCCTGCCCTGCCCTGCAGGGCTCCCCTGCCCTGCCCTGCCCTGCCCTGCAGGGCTCCCCTGCCCTGCCCTGCCCTGCCCTGCAGGACTCCCCTGCCCTGCCCTGCCCTGCCCTGCCCTGCAGGGCTCCCCTGCCCTGCCCTGCCCTGCCCTGCCCTGCAAGGCTCCCCTGCCCTGCCCTGCCCTGCCCTGCCCTGCAGGGCTCCCCTGCCCTGCCCTGCAGGGCTCCCCTGCCCTGCCCTGCACTGCCCTGCCCTGCCCTGCCCTGCCCTGCAGGGCGGCCCTGCCCTGCCCTGCCCTGCAGGGCGGCCCTGCCCTGCCCTGCCCTGCCCTGCCCTGCCCTGCAGGGCGGCCCTGCCCTGCCCTGCCCTGCCCTGCAGGGCTCCCCTGCCCTGCCCTGCCCTGCCCTGCCCTGCCCTGCAGGGCTCCCCTGCCCTGCCCTGCCCTGCCCTGCAGGGCTCCCCTGCCCTGCCCTGCCCTGCCCTGCCCTGCAGGGCTCCCCTGCCCTGCCCTGCCCTGCCCTGCCCTGCAGGGCTCCCCTGCCCTGCCCTGCCCTGCAGGGCTCCCCTGCCCTGCCCTGCCCTGCCCTGCCCTGCCCTGCCCTGCAGGGCTCCCCTGCCCTGCCCTGCCCTGCCCTGCAGGGCGGCCCTGCCCTGCCCTGCCCTGCCCTGCCCTGCCCTGCCCTGCAGGGCAGCCCTGCCCTGCCCTGCCCTGCCCTGCAGGGTGGCCCTGCCCTGCCCTGCCCTGCCCTGCAGGGCGGCCCTGCCCTGCCCTGCCCTGCCCTGCCCTGCCCTGCCCTGCAGGGCGGCCCTGCCCTGCCCTGCCCTGCAGGGCGGCCCTGCCCTGCCCTGCCCTGCCCTGCCCTGCCCTGCCCTGCAGGGCGGCCCCTGCCCTGCCCTGCCCTGCCCTGCCCTGCAGGGCGGCCCTGCTCAATGGTCAGCTTTCCTCGTGGGGTCACCCATAAAGACACTGGGAGGGTTAATAGTACAGTGTGTTTGTGTGATCACCAATTTGTCATTATAGCGCAACTTATGGGGGGGGGGGGGGGGCATCTTTCTCAAACTAAACCAAAGAAGGGACAAGTGAAATGTGTTCATGACACTGAAGCACCAAGAACAGTGTTCTTGATTGATACGCAGTAAACACAATAAAATACCAATACTGCGCTGGGTTGGTGATAAATTCCCCTTCTGAATTACTGTTCCAGTCTGCCCCAACTCCTTCCAAAATGACGTAAAAACCATTGACATATGAAAAATGTGGACATAGCCCACCCATTGTTCCGTGAGCGGCAGGTTTAAGCCAAAAATGGGAGGTTCCCAACACTGATTTTTTTTTACCGTGTCACATGTCTTGTCACGCCCAGACAATTCAAAAATGGGAAAAGAGGTGGAGCTGAGGATGGGGGTCTTACGTTTGGAACAGGGTTGGAACAAATTAACCAATGTAGCTAATAGTTGAGTCATCTAGTCCAAGAAGCTAAGAAGGGCTCCGGGGTAGCCAATTCGCACGACAGCCTGGCGTCTGTGCGAGGCTGTAGTCATGCCGGTTGCCTGTGGAGATATAATATGGACTGGGACTATTAAATTACAAGCAGAACCTCAGACCACTGCAATTGTAGCTGGGCACCATGGCCTTTAACATCAGCTCATGCTCCACGGTTGGAGATCAGCGGGACATTAGCTATATGCTAACCCAAAGATAATTGAATTTTTCAAGGCATTTTTATGTTTATTTATTTGGCATACGCTTTTATCCAAAGCGACTTACAATTGTTAATCTATAGGGCATGTTGTGATCTGTGGGGGAAACCGGAGTGTCCAGAGGGAACCCAGGCATGCATGGGGAGAACATGCAACTCCATGCAAAAAGGCTGCAGCTGAGTTTCGAACCTGCAACCTTCTTGCTGCGAGGCAACAGTGATAACAACTACTGGGACTCTAGACTCTGGAATGACGAGACAAAGATACAAAATGTCGCCAACTTGTTCATTCCATGCCTAGAGGACTTGGTGTTGTGCATGAAAATCATGGTGGTCATACAAAATACTAGATGTAGTAGTTTTTGTTGCAGGTTGTATTCACTTTTGCTTCAACCAGTTTTAGTAACACAGAAGATTTTGTGATCCAAGTTATATTATTAACCTTGATTTCATGTTACGGAGTTAAACAAGTGTTCAGTAAAACCCAGCCTTGTGAAAATTTTGGAAATTGTTCGATAGATAGATAGATAGATAGACAGATAGATAGATAGACAGATAGATAGATAGATAGATAGATAGATAGATAGATAGATAGATAGATAGATAGATAGATAGATAGATAGATAGATAGATAGATAGATAGATAGATAGATAGATAGATAGATAGATAGATAGATAGATAGATAGATAGATAGATAGATAGATAGATAGATAGATAGATGATAGATAGATAGATAGATAGATAGATAGATAGATAGATAGATAGATAGATAGATAGATAGATAGATAGATAGATAGATAGATAGATAGATAGATAGATAGATAGATAGATAGATAGATAGATAGATAGATAGATATATAGATGATAGATAGATAGATAGATAGATAGATAGATAGATAGATAGATAGATAGATAGATGATAGATAGACAGATATAGAGATACAGTAGATATAAGTAGATATAGACATGAATAGATAGATGATAGATAGATATAGACATAGATGGATAGATGATAGATACCGTAAATCCTCTAATACAGGCCCGGGCCTGTATTTGACTCAAGCTCATCAAGCTCCAGGCCTTTATTGGAAGGAGGACCAGAATTAGAGGCAAAATGACCACCAAACAGAAAATAAAAAGAAAGACTTGTGCTAAACATGGAAAACTAAATGTTGTTGTTGTTTTCACCTTTGTTGCCCTAAATGAGTGAAACATGCAAAAATACACAGTTTCATTAATTAATTTCTTGGCTTTGGAAGTTAAAGCATGGAAAAAAGCATATTACCTTTCTGAAATCCTTTCTTTTTGTTTTACTTTTCCATGATTTCTTTCTCCATAATCAAAGATAAACAGTAATGTTAGAGAACAAGTAAATAAAACAATGAAAAGTTATGCATGTATTCAAGTCTGGAAAAATAGTCTTGGACTTTTATGAACTTATTATTTATTTATTTATTTGCAGCATGCAAATACATTTTTCTTAATTGTTCAAAGAAATTAGTAATGCAAAGCAACATGAAAAAAGGTCTTTAAAATGGAAAAGGTGAGAAATAAAGATGACAACAAATTTAATAATGACAACAACAATAATAATAAGAAAAAGAAGAAGAGTAGTCTTTAAACTGAGTGAATAAGTCATCTAATCTCAGTAGTTTTTGATGATTAAGGGATTTATTTAGAAAAAGAGTGTTATAAACAAAATAATGAGATGGCAGCATTAATTAAAGGAAGTCATTTGGTCTCAGTTTGTGATGAACCAAAAACAAAAGCGGAAAAATTTTTACTTTAAAGAGCAAGTCACCCCCTACCAGACTCTTACTCCACTCCCACTTCCCGTTTGAAAAATGCAAAAAATGCTGTTGTCTGGCAGTCTACACACACACACACACACAACATTGTGGCCTCATAATGTACCAGCTGACGTCATAGTGTACTTCTTAGCCTATAGCATTGGCAGATTAAATTTAAATGCAATGCAGAGTTTTTACCTGACAACTGTGCAACAATGACAGTTTTAGGCAGAATATTTAAATTTTAACTAAAATGCACTTAAGTGCCAAATGATTGACTGCATGTGTCTACAGCATGGTTAGACACTCATTTATATAGTTAATCAGCAAAAAAGAAGTGGATTTGGGGGTGACTTGCTCTTTAAATTCAAAGTTAAGGCCACAAGGGGGCCCCAACCAACACACACACACACACACACACACACACGCAAGCACACACACACACACGCACGCACACACACGCACACACGCACACACACACGCACACACACACACACACACGCACACACACACACACACACACGCACACACACACACACGCACGCACACACACACACACACACACACGCAAGCACACACACACACACACACACACGCACACACACAGTGTGAACCGTGGGTTCTGGTTCCAGGCAGCTGGTGTTCTGCTCGTTGGCGGTTCTGGCGGAGGAACGGAACCCGCTGGAGTGTCTGGACGCGTTCGGAGCTACAGGTGAGGAGTTGGGGCGTCGGGACGAGTGTGTCTGAATCGGCTGCTCTGACCTGCAGGTCAGCTGATTCATGCAGCTCGTGTCTTTTGTTTACGCTGGAGCTTCGTGGCCATCCAGACCAACGTGGACAGATGTTTAACATCTGCAGTCCTACCACCAGCTCCAGGTTTAAAGCGTGGGAGACGGATGAACCTCTGTTTTGTCTCCAGGCATCATGGGCCTCCAGTGGGCCAAACACCTGCGTAACGCTGTCAGAGTCACCATAACGGACATCAGCGACACCTGCGTCAAAATGATCAAAGAGAACTGTGAGCTAAACAACATCCGGGTGGACGGAGGCCAGCGAGGACCCCGGGGCCCCGACCGGGCCGGTGCCGAGGCTGAGATGACTCCTGTCGCTACCGTGGAGGTCGCCAAGATGGATGCCAACGTCATCATGCATCTGCGATCTTTTGACTACATGTGAGTGAACCGAGGACACAGACCAGTTAAAGGAGATTCATGTGGGTGACTTGGCATCACCCAACAACAATAGGGTGGGGGTGTGGTGTGGAGGGGAGTCAGCTGGAGGAGAAGGAAGCTTCAGACGGCAGGATCTGGAGTCTTATTTCCTGATATGTGGACATCTCACCTCTGATTGGCTAACAGCAACACGACTCTACCACTGACTCAGTTTGCTCTGCAGCATTGATGTTTTACCTCCACTAATAACACAAGCCTGGAGGAGTTCTGCTGTGTGGTGGAGTTGCTAATGCTAACGTTAGCTTCTACTAGCAGAGACGTTCTCTCCTGTTTCCTGGATGCTAAACCAACAACAGCCTTCCCCGTCGTGAGTCCAGATGGGTGAGTCCATGAATGTTAGTGACAGGATGACGTAGATCTGTCAGGATTTTCTATCCTAGAGTTTCACCGTCGGTTTTCTATCAGAAGCTGATGCAGGAGATAGGTGTAGGAGACTATTATCTATCAGAAGCTGATGCAGGAGATAGGTGTAGGAGACTATTATCTTTCAGAAGCTGATGCAGGAGATAGGTGTAGGAGACTATTTTCATGTTCAGCCTGTGTGAAACACTCACCCCCAAATTCCACTACCTCCGCTCCGGTCCGGTCCGCCCCCGCCTTTCGCAGCCGCTCGCTTCCGAACTCAAATTATACTGGTACCCGCTCTACAACGGCTCCGCTCCGGTGCGGAAACCTGAGGGGGGCAAACAAGCATGCGCGGGATTTTCGAGATCTTGCGATACAGTCCGAGCAATAAACGCGGAAGTTAGATCCAAACACCCGTTGTGTGGGAGAAACATCGGCATGAACTGTTTAATCTGCCCATCATTTGTGTTGAGAGATCAGCAGTGTTTGGATCAACAAAGTGTGACTACTTTGATAGTGGAAACTGTATTTATGGCTTATTTTTGTGCATTTAAACTTCAGCCGTCATTGATAGTTGTTAAAAGTTGTTAAACCTGTGCATATGAAACAAAAAACGCCTTTTGTTTATCGATTTATTGTGGAATAACTGAAGTTGTGCTTGCTCCTTTTCCTGTTGGGCCGTTGTGATTTCTGTCCATTTACTGCGGAGGTGCTCCGGCGTCCGGCGAAAATAGGATCGATTCTATTTTTGCCGGACGCCGGAACAGAGGGCAGCGCACGGCGCCGCACTGCCGGACCACGGCCGCAGTAGTGGAATTGCTCTGATTGACTACAACGGGACCGATTTTGCTCCGGCGTTCGTGTCGGAGCGGAGCGCAGCGGAGCGGAGGTAGTGGAATTTGGGGGTCAGAGTGACCCGTTAGAATCAGAAATAATCATTAAAACGGTTTTCCAGTGAACCACACCTTTAAGATATTTAAAAGCAGATCATCCAGGGCGACGGTGGCACAGAAGTTAAGTGCAGGTTGCAGGTTCGAGCCCCACTTAGTGTGTCGCTGTCGTTGTGTCCTTGGGCAAGACACTTAACCCCCCTTGCCTGCTGGTGGTGGTCGGAGGGACCGGTGGCGCCAGTGCTCGGCAGCCTCGCCTCTGTCAGTGTGCCCCAGGGCAGCTGTGGCTACATTGTAGCTCATCACCATCAGTGTGTGAATGTGTGTGTGAATGAGTGAATGACTGATTGTGTTGTAAAGGGCCTTGGGGGGTCCCAGGACTCTAGAAGGCGCTATATCAAATACAGCCATTTACCATTTCTTCCAGCCACCTGGAACCGTTTGGTACTGCTGTGAACTACCTGGACGCCGCCTTCAGGAACATCCGTAACCTTGGCATTATCTCCATAACGTCCACGGACACAGGTTCGCTGTATGCCAAGTCGCCCAGCGTCACGCTGCGTCACTATGGCTGCCACATCGTTCGTACCGAGTACTACAAGGAGCTGGCAGCACGCATGCTGGTGGCCTCCGTGTGCAGGTGGGTCTCCCGCCCCAGAATCCTCCTGGTGTGGTTCAGGCCGCTCCTGACTGTGTTGTTGCTGCTGCAGGGCGGCTGCACGCTGCAACAAAGGCATCGAGGTGCTGCTGACGGTGGCGCTGGAGCACTTTGTCCTGGTGGTGGTGAGAGTTCTTAGAGGCCCGTCGCAGGCGGATGAGTCAGCCAAGAAGTTACGGAAACTGATGCATTGTCAGTGGTGCGAAGCGAGGGTGTTCCTGAAGCTTGGAAACATGGTGGACGGTGAGCCGCTCTGATGGGGTGGGGGGGCCACACCTGTTCAGATATTTAAGAGCATGTCTTCTTTCAGCCACCTGAAAGCTGCTCATCAGTGTGTCACCGTGCCAGTTAGCTAAAGGGCAAATCATTTAGACGTTTATTTAAACGTGGACGCTGATCTTTGAGCCTCGATGCAGCATTTAAAAAGTTGTTGGAGCTTAAATGTCCCGATGCAACACACAATCAGGGTTCGAGCCTGAAGGGTTCCGGTTCTGATTCCAGTTCCTCGTTTTCATTCGGGTTCCTATCGATTCCCGATTCCGATTCTTTCAGGTGGCCGGGTCCCAAAACATGACATGATGCCAGTGAGCCAGCTGATCACAGGTCCTACCTGATGAAATATTCTGAACTTCAACATGAATTTTATTCTACGAAAAATAACATCACCTTCATTTACGCATTTTAACGAGCTTCCTCTGGTGCAACCTTTACCTCTTCAGCAGACGGGTTTGTTTACATTGTTGCCTCTGCAGTGAGTGTGTGTGTGTGTGTGTGTGATTGTGTGTTTGCAAAAGAAAGAGAGCAGGGAGTAAATTAATAAAATATTGTGGTTCCAAGTCTCCAAAAGCAACACAGCTCACGCCCACCTTGTGTTTATTTTATGAAGGATGACATCACGGAGTTTAGATCCATTCAGTTTATTTATAAAGCGCCAAATCACGAGTCGTCTCAAGGACCTGCACACAGTAAACAATACAGGTCAGGTCATTAAGCCAATCAGAAATAATGTTTCCTATATAAGGAACCCAGCAGGTCGCATCGAGTCACTGACTAGTGTCAGAGACTTTACAGCAATCCTCATACTAAGCAAGCATGCAGCGACAGTGGAGAGGAAAACTCCCTTTTAACAGGAAGAAACCTCCAGAGAATCCTGGCTCAGTATAAGCAGCCATCCTCCACGACTCACTGGGGATCGAGAACACACACACACACACACACACGCACGCACGCACGCACGCACATACACACACACACACACACACACACACACACACACACACACACACACACACACACACACACACACACACGTTTCCATGGTTACATTGTGATTTCTTAGTAAATATTCTATTAGGTGAGAGATAAACTTTATTGTATTTATCCTAGTGGATCTATAATTAAACGGATAAACTAGTAGTAGCACATCCAACGTCAAAGAGAGTAAAAAGTTATTATCAGGAGAGAGAGAATGTTTAAGTGGTTAGCAGCAGTGTGCTAGACGATGGCCCCCTCCATGAGGCCACCACAGCTCAGCAGAACATCGTTGTAGCTTCTTCTGGGGAGAAAAACACTTAGGATTATGCTTATTCTTCTCAATTAACGCTGAGAAATAAGCAGTTCTAGTTTGTCGAAGCTTATTTTTATAAAGCACAAGACTATTTTTCCAGGATAGGTAGGCCTCCTCATGGTGCGTAGAGCGCCATGTTTTTGTTTAGTGTTTTAATAGGAAGCTAAATCCACACCTGTCTCCTTACAGACACGCTGCCCTGTGACTGTCATGGAAGTCTGCCTGGGAAGACGGCGGTGCAGCTGGGACCTCTGTGGTAAACACACACACTCCCATGTTTTTTTCTTGTTTTGTAGGCTTTGTACTCATCATTAGACATTTTATCGATCCAATGTGCTAAGTATCTTTTTAAACATACACAGGGCCTGCTTATTGGGTAAAACTTTATCTGTAAAAAATATAGGGGGCCCAGAAATGTTGGTAGGGCCCATAATTTCTGCCGACTCTCCTGGCTGTTTGTACGCATGGTCAGAGCTGTTCTGATATTTGAAACCATCTCTACACACAAGTATGAGATGGTGAATACCACACAAAGTGTAAAAGGGTTCCACAGATCTGCGCGTAAGTACGATTGATAAATGAGCGCCCTGGTCTTTGCATATGAGATCCACTCCATTAGCTCAGTTTATGCAACTCAGACTGCTTGTTAGACACGTATAACTGAACATCATCAGCATATGAATGATGAGATACATTTTTACAGCGTCTGACCTTCCAAAAAGAATTGGTCCTTAGGCTGACCCCTGAGGGACGCCTTAGAGCAAAGGCAAGGCTTCAGACATGTTATTAAAACACAAAGAATGATCTGTCTGCCAGTTAGGAGGGAGACCTCTTCAGGACTCACACGAATGGCCCACATGGTCTACGTGGCCCCTTTAGGCTCCGGGTTACGGGGTTAGTCTGTGTGTGCAGGTCCGGACCGCTCTTCAACACTGGCTTCCTGAGAAAGATGCTGTCTGCTGCCGTGAGGCACAGCATGGAAGACATCCAGCCACTTGTCAAAACGCTGATCTGCGAGTCTGAGGGCACCACCCTCAAGTCTCTGGTCCATGGGTCATCAGTCCTCACCAGCCAGGGTAAGGTCTCCTCTGTGACCCCTCTGGTGTTTGCAGGACCAGACTGTGACTCTTCTGTTTCCTCTGCAGCGGAGTGTGGAGTTGTTATTAAGACGTTACAGAGTGGAGATGAGGCGAGACTCGCTGACCTGACTGGTGAGTCGGTCCATCCTGTTCTCTACAATCATCTGAAAACAAAACCAGCGGAGGTTAAAACGGACTTGGGGGCTCTGAAAAGCCGAAACAAGGGATTCTGTATTTAGACCTACAGGTTCAGGGGTATCCACTAGGGGGCAGTGTTGCTTTATTTAGTCTGTTAAATACTTGGATTCTGGTGCTTTCTTCATCCTTTTTGTTTGTTCTTCGGCTCAGTGAAGTTTTAGTTTCCCTGCAGGTAAAAGGAAAAGCGGGGAGGAATCTGGGAACGTCCTGAAGAAGCTGAAGCCTGATGCGTCTCTGGAACATCCTCCTTTCTACTACAGCATCCACCGACACAGCATCAGAGGCATGAACATGCCCAAGTGAGTGACCTCTGGCCTCCAGGCATGTGATTTGCAGCCCTGCTCCGGTCCTAACACAAACTTCCTTCTGCTGCAGGTTGAACAAGTTCCTTCAGTACCTGATGGAGGCCGGCTTCAGGGTGAGCCGGACTCACTTTGACCCGACGGGGGTTCGCACCGACGCCACGCTGCAGCAGTTTAAGTCCGTCCTCACCAAGTACAGCGTCCCCACCTTCACCAAGGCCGCCACGTCCACGCAGACTAGCGTGAGCTCGGAAAACCCCGCCTGAACCGGCTGAATCACCGGCTCTGCTGGTCCTTCAGCAGCTTCCGGATTCTGTCCGTTTCGTTAGGAATGTCTTCTCTTTTTGGCTTTTTAAACACAATAAAATCTTTGTGGAAAGCATCATAAAAATGTTCTGATGTGTGTTAAGTTTAGTTCTGGTCGCCCACAGAAGCAGGTTCTCCTTCAGGCTGCAGCTGCACAGCCTAAAGGAATGGATGCACGGCACAGTTAAACAGCTGCTGCTGACCAAAGTGCTTCACAGCACGAGAACACACATCACCGTGCAGTAAACAAACAAATAAATACATAAACAAACAAGTAAATGCATAAATAAACAAATCAACGACTAGATTCAAATATGAAATCCAAGTTAAAACCGGTTCTGGACGGTCGTTGGGAAGAGCCGGCTATGAACTAATATTCCTTTAGTTTCAAAGCTTCTGACTGATAAGTAATAATGACGTCACTAAGCTGCTCCCGGAGTTACTGACGTCATGTTTGTGTTTAGATGGAGAAACTTCAAAAATGTTTCAAAACCTGAAATTCTCTTTAGCTTGACCCCGATGACGTCACGGGGGGCAGTTGTTTTGTGTGACACACACACACACACACACACGCACGCACACACGCACACACGCACACACACACACACACACACACACACACCTCAGATCAGATGTTTGGAAGTTTTAGCTACGGGGCGGGAGACGGGACAGCGTCACTAACCCATGTGGGGGAGGAGACGGGGGAGGAGGCGGGGCGGGGGTGGTGACTCCCCCTCTCCTCCCCAGCTCCAGAGGAGACCCGCTCCCACCTGAGGAGAACCAAAGGCTACCTGCGGAGCTTCCCGTCAGAGGAACCATGGGGACCTCCGCCTCCACCCTGCTGGATGAAGCCAGGTCCAACTACATCAAAGGTAAGAACTAGAACCGACCCGGTTCGACTCAGTTTGCCCGCGACGCGGTGGACACGCGCGGGGCGCTCATCGAGTTCGAGCCGGTTCTGGATGTCAGAACTTCCCTCTGGAGTTCAGGTGGACCAAAGACATCGGAGCTGGGTCAGGTGGTACCGACGGAACCAGAGCCTGGGGGAACCGGTCCGCAGGGATTTGGTTTCCGATGCTGACCCGGGTTCTGGTTCTGTTTCCTGGTTCCCTGCTGGGACCGCGATGGGCGTGTCCGGGAACATCAGAGCTGCTGCAGGTGCACCAGCAGGTGACCCTGGTCCTGTCTGGTCTTCTGGTTCTGGAGGTTCGGTCTCACCTGGTCCCAACTTCTGGCTTCACTTCTGTTGCATCTAGAAGTTTGGATCGGAACCGTTTTTAGGGCAAGTATGAAACACACCTGATGAATGACGGCTCTGGTTGCCATGGAGACGTGGTTCAGGAGGTTCGGAACATTAAAAAAGTTCCATCTGGATCTGCAGCTGCCTCATGAACGGATCCGGGTTCTGTTAGGATCCGGATCTTTAAACTGAGCTGTTGGTTTGTTGAGGATCTCGAACCGGACCGTTTCTGTTGGTCATCAGATATTATTTTAATGTTCACCATAAATCAGCTGATTTGGATCCGTGGGTTCTACTCTGGGTTCCACCTGACGGTTCTGTTGTGACCCATCAGAGGCAGCCGGGTCACGTAACAAAACTGGGTCGACCCGCAGAACTCGCTAAATGCGGAGAAACCGGATCCTGGAGACCAGGAAGTTTCTTGCTTCCACATGCTGCTTTGCCTCGGCTGTTACCATGGTTACATAACTGTCTGATGTTGGAGGAAACCAGGCCAGGAGGCCCATCTCCTGATCTGGGTCCTGGTCCAGCTCGTGCTCCAGGACCAGCAAAGGCACAGATGACCCCCCACCTGAGTCACCTCTCAGGGGGCGCTGTGGCGGGCTCTCGGCTGGGTTGGACGAAGCGCGGTGGATCTGCTCTGGGGGGAGATCAGAACTCTGATGGCTTAAACTGACTTTTAATTCTGTTGCTGTTATTTTAATCTTGTATTTTATGACTTTTATTTTGGTTTTATGTGGATTTTTTGAGTTTATTCTCCTACTTTAGCCTGTTCAGCACCTTGGTGGCAGAACACACGTCTGTAAGGTGCTTTTTTAAATAAAGATGATGATGATGATGATGATGATGATGATGATGAAGATGATGAAGAACGTTGTCAGGCGTCGTGTTGAAGGTCATCCGAGGCTGGAGGGCCCTGAAAAGTCCCACCAGGATCTGGTTTAGCTGAGTGGAATCGACAAAGCAGAAAATATGTTCTATTAAAAATAAAGACGTTCTTTGTGTCAGAGAACCTCCTGCTGAACAAGCAGAACCACGGTTCCACTGATCCAGAACAGATGAGGAACACTACAGCTGAGGCTGCTCCTGCTCAGGGTGAGATGAGCAGCTGAAGTTTCAGAGAGGCGAGAGGATCCGTTGTTGGTTCATGTGGAAACTCCGTTCTCCAGGTTCTGCTGGAGCCGGTTCAGGTTGTGCATCAGAACAGCTGATGTTCCAGACTCTTCTCTGCTCCGGGGTTGGGGTTATGTTCTTCAGACTCAGTGAAGACCCTTTTTAGTGATTTATTTTATACCTCTTTAATCCCGTCTGTTTATCCGGGTCTGGGTCACAGGGACAGGTATGCCTAAACCGCCCCAGCAACCTCCACCTTTGGGGTCACCAGGCGCTGCCTGGCCAGCGTGCAGCACCTCCTGGGTTGACCCAGGGTCTCCTGCCAGCAGGACATGTCTGAAACACCAGGAGGAGTCCAGGAGGTGCAGGGGCGTGTCCGGGGAGTGGCCTGGGGTAGCACATGCCACCCTTGGAATCTGATTGGCCACCCCAGGTGTCACCACACTAATTTACCTTCAAATAGGCTTTTCATTGTCCACAAAAGGCTTGGGGGTGAAACAAACAAAGCATAATCATTGGTGCCACCCATGCACAAAGTTGTGCCTCACCTGGGCCACCCCATTTTAAAAGATCTGGACACGCCACTGAGGAAGTGTCCTGACCTAATGCTCTCCCTGCAGAGCGATGCTTTTGTTTTGACAGGCTACACGTGATGCTTTTATTTTGATGAGCTGTGTTGCAACAATCCCAGGGGTTTTTTTGGGTGAAGAGACTCCAAACGTTTGATCATGTCTGAATCAGGAGGCACGTCTCCGCTCGTCAGCCGGACAGAAACGATTAATGATCCTTTTGGCGTTTTCCTCCTCGTCTGACGTTTCTGGGGGTTTACGACCCCGATAGAAAAACGAACCTCTGAAATCACATTTTCCGCCACCAGTCTGACTCACGTTTCCAGTCTCTAACAAACTGGGGGAGGAAAAAGGGAACGCAGATTCACGATGAACTCGTTAAAATGTCATCTAAACGTTCTGCGGTACGTATTTTCGTACGGTCCACATTCTGCAGATTCCCTAACTCTGCAGATGGTTGTGGAGCAGAAACCTCAGAGCAAACTCTTCCTCATCACACGTTCACATTCTCATGGACGGAAGGTTTGAGGGTGAATCTCCAGCAGCTTTCGTTCTGCCGGTTTGTTTCCTCTAGATGTTTCACAACAAACAAACCAGATGTGTTCTGGATTCGTTCAAAGTTCCTCGTGACTGAACGCTGAGTCATGGTCCCTGACCGCCAGCTTCAGGTCTGAACTGATGATAATCTCCTGATTCACATCCTGCTGCCAGGGATTAGACCAAGCTGGCCATCAGACAATAATCAGAATATATTCTCAGGTTTTTCAGTGATGAGTCGGCTTGATCTCAGACTTGTTCCTGAACAGCCTCTCTTCTGACACGGTTGACCCCACAGCACCTCAACCAACAGACCTGGTGACTCGGTGGGGATCTCTGTAACCGGTCTAGACTGGTTTAGATGGTACCTTTCTAACAGAAGTCACAGCGTCTGTAGAAACCAGATCATGTCCGATTCTACTGTAGCGTTGAGAGAGGCCACATACGTGTTAAATGATCAACAAGATGGGATGGCTCCATATAAATACGAAATATCAACCTGATGGATCTTTGAATGTTTAATCAGAAAATTCTAGTTTCTTTTACTTTTTCAGGGACCATAAACACACTTCGTATTAATTCAGACAGAGTCAGTATGTAATTTATAAAATGAATGTATTTCTATTTCCCTAAACTACTGATTATACTAGACAGGGTATGGATGATGATGGAACGGAGCTAGATGTTTTAGCGAAACCTTTCCTAAGTAGCTGAGTTTGTGGAGTCTGAGTTGTAAAATGTATTTGGCTGTATGGTTTGATCTTTTAGAGGTTTGTTTATAAAACCATCCGACACAATTTGTGCCGAGTCTACGCACCCTTGTGTGAAGATCCCCAAGCAAACCAGGGGGTCACAAGGTCAGGATGGACACTCAGGCCTAGTCCACACGTAGCCGGGTTTTTTTAAAAACGAATATCCGCCCCTCCAAAAACTTGCATCCACACCACCTCGTTTTAAAAAGAGACTGTCCACACGTACCCGGATAAATACGTTGTTAAGGACATGTCAGACCTGTAGGCGGCAGTACTTCCCTCGTTCTTAACCTCGTCCTTCGTCTGTGGTCTTCCACAAGGAGCAGTAATTCCGCTTGTAAAAACAAACAAGCAGAAAGCGCTTGGACCAATGATAAAGCGAGCTCAGCTCTGAGGGCATCCATGCTGTCGGCTAGTGTAAACACAGGTCGCACACGTGATGTCAGCATTTTTTTGTCGCGGAAAGTGACGTTGCGGACCTTAAAACTCCGGTTTTGTCCGTCCACACGCAGACACCCAAAACAGAGAAACATATCTACGTTTTGGCAGATCCCCGGCTACGTGTGGACAGGGCCTCAAGCCTGGTTTATGCTTCTCCGTCAGCTCCACAAGCGACAGACACGCACGGGTTGACGGAAGCGTTTTGCTCTCATACTTCTCCGTCTCCTGGAGAGTGTTGCCACGCAATTACCCGCCAGGACAACAGAGGGCGTAACGCTGTTCTGTGGTATCCTGTCATGTATCGGTCCAAGATAGTGTGTTTATATTGTGTTTTTTGTGTATATAAGAGACTTTTAACACGGACATATTTGTCTCTCATTCTCCCACCTCTTCATGCGCTCCCCACCTCTAAACCCACGTTTCCTGTCATTTCCGTCCACAAACAAAACGTTTGCTGCGTATCTTTTCACTCCTCCAGTCACGAGAGGATGAAACGTTCATGTTTTTAGTTTTTTCGCGAGGTATTCTTCAAGCTTCTCCGTGTCTGCCGCTGGTTAAACTCGGCTCTCTTTGCAATGGCGGCGCTGTAAACAACAGCGGCGTCCTGACCAATCACAAGCTTGCGTAATCCGTCTCGTTCGACGGATGTTTAAAAATGTGGGCTCGACTCCGTACGTTCTTGCGTGCCTGCCGGAGCCCTGCGCAGGGACGGATAATGGCGTTGCGTGTCTCCGCACTGACGCAGACGGAGAAGCATGAATCAGGCTTCAGAGGGACACAGAGGGAACGTTTAACGGGAGACACGTGGCTCAGATCTCTGGCTGTAGGAACACAAACTGGCTCTTAAAACTCGTTCACTGCCAACGACGACTAAAGTCGTCACTAGCATGTTTTTACTGTGTGGGCGTCGGACGAGCCCCCGCACCGCGAGAACAAACATCTCAGCTCTGAAGCCGATCTTCATCCGCATACGTCACACGTCACGTGATCAGGAAGCAGAACATCCATGTGTTAGGAGATCGTTTTGGGCTTTTCCTGTAAAAAAAAGTGAGGCGCGAACCGGAAAAGCTTCTGCCGATCACAATTCAACAACGGATTATGAAAGAACGGATAACGCTCGAAACGCGCGGATTCTTCCTGATGTAAGAAATGAGGCTTTGTTTTGGGTGTTTTGGCGTCGACATCATGCTAGCGCGCAACGTTCTGTCACTCTTAAAAAA